CAATAAAAACTATATACTATTTTTGTTTGTATAACGATAGTAATTAAATTTATTAAATTTATTAAGTTATAACTGAATATTAAAATAAGCTTATCAATATTGAGACGGAAACAACATGTTTATAAAATAATGTTATCACGAGTAACCGCAACCAACACGGTGCATTAAAGGCGATTCGTAGCTGGCATCTTGGCAACGTGATAAATGGGACTAATCAGGAGACTCATAAACATTGGTTACAAACGTTATGAAACTAAAATACTTAAAACACCGAGCTCCGAAGTAGGTTATTTGATTGGCTGTGATATAAAAAATGTGTCGCGACGAGTCGTCGCCTCAGAGCCACGTGCCCGACCTGATGAACACAAGTCGGTGTTATTTGCAGCATAATTTACATAGAGATAGATCAACGTCCCGCGGGATGTGCACCCGTTGAATTTCTATTGTTTAAATTGGAAAACTAAGTGCGCCAATGGTCGACTTTCCTCTCTCGTCATTATTAGATCGCAGGTGTTGACGTGACAAAAAGTACAAATTATTCGTAAAACTACAATCCCTTGGAGAGCGTAGATTTAAGTAGACAAAACATTGTAATTCATATGATGATAAGCGAACACAATTCGCTGAAAGTGTTATACTCATAACAGCAATACTGGGCGATCGCATATCGATTGCATGCGATAATAAATCAGATTTAGGAATTATCTCATAACGAAATTGAATACTTATATATTTTTTATAATGTATAAAAGTGCTTACACAGTAAATTGTCAAACGTTGTTGTATGGGTCAAACACAAATTGTATAATTCATAATTTCCTAAAAATAAAACATCAAATTTCATTTTGAAAATCAGTCTTTATTCACATTGTACTCTTTGATTATTGTTAATAATATGGAAACAGATCAGTCTTACACATTTTTGCAAAAAATCACAGTTTTTATTTTTATCTGTTCACCGAAAAGACTTAATTGTCCACAGTTGATAACATAAACCTTATTTAAGCACTTACATTATTACGATTCATTTGAGAAAGCTAATTTAATATGCTTAAAACAATACTCACAATTATCACAAAATAATTAAATTTCGATAATAGGTGTATCTTAGACAACAAAAAATAATCATAAGAGTTTTTGTTTGATATATATATCAAACAAAAACTCTTTGTATCCAGGCAAAAAATTATACTTATTATGATAAATTACTTAGTTACAAAAAATGTAATAATTCTTATAAATTATTTTGCTAACTGAAATTTCAGTTGTATTTAAAAATATTTTTTTCAAATTTTTTTCCATGTCTTGGAAATCCCTGACTCATTGAGACCTTTACCATTAGTTTTGAAATAAATGATATGAAACTTTTTCAAATACCAAAATTAATTAGTTCAACATGTAAATTTGAGTAGAAGAATTCATCTCTATTAGTTGTACACGACTAAATGAAGATGATGGTGACTAGATGTCGATAGGGTTGAGAACGAATCGATTACCTAATGGCGTTGTGTGACCACTCGGCCCCGTGGAGATTGACTCATTTGCACTGCATTACATTACCGAGTGACACGAACAGCCACTCTCATCATCGCGGTAATGAACAAATTGTTGTTCACAACACTCCACTGCAAAATTCTATTTCAATTGCTGGATACGTTTCTGTTGGTTCAAACAGTTTCGATCTCACAAGCATCGATTAAACACATTATTAATCCAAGGCTGTGTAACAGCACGTGTTATATCTTCATAACAATATTTAGGACAAAACATTTCTGCAATAAAATTTACTAAATAGGTATTGTAAGTTTAGACTTTTTGTATACATACTTATTTTCAAAATATCAAGGTATCAAGTAAATTTTCAAATTTGTTTTAGTGCATTTTAGTAAATTCTCAATATTTTTTTTGTTTGGTTTAATTTTAATTATGAATAAAAAGATATCACTTATAACATCTTTATTGGTGTAAGATTTTTACCTACATCTTTTCCAGTTAGTACGTTTACTTTTACTCAACGTGTTCCCATTATTCGACCTATTTGACATTTGGCTCACACACATTTTGATTATTTTTGATCTCGGACTTGCGCAATATATAATCATCGGTATATTAGAGAGTGATAATATATTTTAATTTCAGTTTTTTACCCAAGCTTTGCAGAGCTTTGGTGGTTCACATTCTATACCTTACATATCACCAAAGTATTGATAAAAACATATTATTTTTGTTTAATTTGATATGGTAAATATAATAATACTTACATGTACTTACTTACTTGACCTGATACTGCCTCTATGGTAAACTGCCTTAGTCTCTTAAAATAATATTAATAACTTCACACATCTTACACACGGAAAATTATGCCGACTCGATCTCGTTTCGTGATAACGTTTATACAATAATGCTGACTGCACCTTGTGATTAAGTGTAACAACTTATTAGCTGCAAAAAATGTTAAAAGTTTTGTGCTTGAGCCGACCTCCTTATGACGAGATATTTTCGAACATGTAATACTAGGATACAAGTGCAATCCCACCTTCTGGTTCAACTATTTGATCCTACTGTTAGGAATGTGTTTCATCCATTTTGATTGTCCTCAATAGTGGAGGTTCAAATATCAGGCTAGATGTCTACTTCATATCTCTAATACGTCTTTGAGCACATCGGCTAGTGAGACACCCAGACACCCAGAACACACTTGAACCAACTTGAATTACACAGCAGAATACAATTAGGTATGTAGATAGTAAATAAACAAATAATATCTTCACGTACCTACTTGCTTAAGCATTAAGTGGTTAAGTATATCTACTAAAACCAAGGTTAAGTAGTTTTACGCTAGGTATCTGTTAATTTGTTTAATAAATGAAAATGGGTGTAGGACTGGGTCAGCAAAAACATTCGCTTTTTGCCTAAAAAGTGGTCTGCAAAAAGTCCCACAAGTGGTGTTATCTGCACAACGTTTTTTGACAGTAAACGTAACAATAATTTCAATATTAAAATCTAATAAGTACCTACCTACTACAGCTGCAAGTTTCCAGATTATGCTTGTAATTAAAAAGTAATCACTTCAAATCCGACTTATGAAAATATTTAAAAAGATTTACTTACAGAAATAATACCATTTATCATTTAAATTAGATGGAGTTCTAAAGTTAGATGTTAAGAAAATAATAAATTTTACGTTTTACTGTAGGATGCTTCATTGCTAGTAAGTCCAGAATTATTACCTATTAGTAGTAGCGTTATCGTATCTTCCAAAAGCTAAAATCCGGGTCACATAAAGGTACCTGAAAATACTGAAAGCTAAGAATGATAAGTTCGATTGATTAATAGTTAAACAGTTTTTTTTTAACTTTGTACTAGACATAAAAAAATACATTAAAAAAGCCAATCTCATGTTAAAACCAAAATGGAAAAACTCCTTTTCTTTTGATTTTATCAAGTTAACTAAGGTATCAAAGTAACTACCTACTACGATTCTCGCAGTTGTGCATATAAACATTCTGTAGGTACGCCATGTTTTTTGTACGTTGGAGAATATCTCAAGCTCTGGAGGTGTTATCGGGGGATAGTTTCGTGCCTTTTTATTTCGTTCGCAGATTTGAAAGCACGTTGTACCTACAAGCTTAGAATAATAACGCATAGAAGGATAGTTTCATATCAAAAAACCGTCGAGTTTAAGGCAAAAACACAGGTGTAATTGATGTACGCACGGCGACGCGCACACTAGCTTACTAGTAATGTTGCTATCGGAATCAGATTTTCTAGAAAGTTGGGAAATTTGAACTAGTACTTCCTTTAGTCCTTAGAGGTTTCTGCACTGACAATAAGGAATTTCTTTTTTAATTTTATAGATGAAAATCTGAAATAAGTCATAGAAACATTTAAAAAGTTATATGGTTTTAAAGTTATTATAGTGTTCCGACATAAATCACATCTTCCACAAATGTATACTGTGTGCTCATTAAAATTTATTATGACAGCCTCGATGTTGCAGTGTTAGCATATACGACTACTATGAAGAGATCTCGGGTTCGATTCCCGGGTCGGACCAAATATATTTACGATTTGTAAATATTTGTTTCAAATTTTGGGTGTTTTCTATGTATAATATGAATTTACAAAAAAATACAATTACCTAATAAATATATTTCAATGATGTTTTAAATATTATTTGGTTTGGTTTATATTAAATAACATCACATGATTAATGGACGACACCTATCCAGTAAAACTAAAGAATAGTCTTAAGTGCGTTCAATTTGAATATTTATTAATACTTCCTGGCAAATTACTATTTTTTTATTAATACTGGCCATTGTTGTCACGGCTTCAAGTGCAACAACTTATACAATAAGCATTTTTTATTTTAGAACAAAAATCAAAATTTGGGAAACCGTTTCAACTTAACTTGCAACATTTGGTCAAAATGGTGTCTGCTAAAATTTAATGTTTTTATTTGCGTAATACTTACACGTGGAATGTTATGTTTCAATTTTTGTTAAGTTTTTCCGATGCATTGTGGCACCCGTTAATTGCACAAACTGTCATTTTGTATTAAAATTACGAGAGCTGTTAGCACTACAATTTGACCTTGAGTAGTGCTGAAGTGCTCAACGACCGCCGTTCGTCCCAAAATGGCATATTTTTACTTGCCTCACTTTTCGTGCGTGTTCTCGGTTTCGAAGCGTTATTATTCAGAGTCTACAAGTTACTTCTATAGTTCCGTAGCTGTGATTCCTAAAATACGTTCATGGCAGTAAATCTCGAGGCCAACCTATTTGTTATCAATCCATCTTAAAACATAGTGAGAACCAATAACATTTGTCAATTTTACACAATTAATTTGAGCGTAAAATAGCTAAGTAAAAGTCACTATTAAAAAACCGGCCCATTGCGTCTGAAAGACCTAATTTCAGCCATATCTAGTTAATCAATATCAATTTGACGATGTACCTAGTTCGAATACTAAAATCACAATTAAGTATAATTAGACAATGGTAAACACTACATGGGTAGCTAATTTAAAAATTTACACAATGAGCATTATATTGAAAAAAACGTGTCAAATTCTAAAACTATTGATAATCCTCTTAAAATAATAAAAAATATAATAAATACATATATTCAATAGTGACGAAGATAATTTGTACCTTTTCTTAATTTATAAACCTACCTAGGTAGGTACCTACATGATTCGATTCGAATATAATACCTATGATAGGTACTTAAGTATATTTGATTTAAGATTTCCAAAAATATTACAATTATACTACGCCTAGCAATATTATCATAGCTTACCATTTTAATCTGATCTGACCGGACGTAAAATATTATCATACAGTTTCCGAACACTTAAAAAATATCTCAGAGTAGGTAGGTACCTACCTACCTAAGACTAATAAACTTGCAAACTATTTCGATAAGGGATATAATCTTAACATAACAGTATAGGTGAGTATAGAAAAAATCATAGTTACTTTAGAGTAACTATACGTTTTTTCAGAGGATCTGTGTAGGTACTTTAAAGCAAATTGTATACCGACCTACCCATTTAATTATCACGATCTTGGATTGAATCCATCTAGAGCAATATTAACCTACACCGATTTGCATTGACCCCTCAGCCTTCTGAACTCAAGATCAGTCTGATAGTGAGGATATAAAAATCTATAAACAAAGTTCATACGTAAAACTTATAAAATAAAATGAAACTATAAAAAATCACCGTAACAGTAGGTTTTTATGCAATTGTTCACTTAAGTCATAATATCGACGACATTAAACTAAAAGTTATAACAAATGACATTCATTATTGGTCCTACCTAATTGCAACTACCTATTCTCTAACGTGTTGGTTAGAAGGCGAAATTCAATGACTTTTGTTAGTTTAATGACCCGTAGACATGAATCAAACATCAATTTTCTATATAGACGATTTTATACGAGTCGTACATATTATTAATTGGCCACTCATGGTAAAGTTCTAAAAAGTATTTATATATTGTAAGAAACCAATGAAAAAGATTATTTTCTCAGTAAGTACAGAAATGTTATAATAAAACTCTTCCATCTAACAGAACTACAAAACGACGTAGGTACCTACTTACACAAATACAAAACTGCTATTGATGCATTAGGTGAAATATCTTGGTCTTGTTATATGTTCTTAACATAATACTCATAAAACCTGATCAACCAAACCCACGAAAGGTTCACCAATCGTTAAATCAGTATGAGGTATTGCTCATTTTTTTTCTAATTTCTAGTTCTAATTTTTTTATTTAATGTACCCATTTTCAGAACTAACTTTGAGTATTTTTATAATAAATGTTACCTCCGTCATATGTTATAAGAATCTGTTAAAAAACTCTATTTATGGCACTGACTATACGTATACCTTGGGATCATTGAACTATTGATAGGTAGGTAAGTAAACCTATTTCTAATAGTAGTTGTAGCGCCATCTTACCAAACTATGAAACAACAACAAACTTCTAAATAGTTCCCTTTTCTGAACTAAAGATTATTGTAGATGGCGCTAGATAGTCGGATGTGCATGTGCAAAAATTGCGATAATAATGTCAAGGCCAATGTTAAAATTAATTAATTTGTATACTATAGTTCGTGAATTTGCAAAAATAAAGCAAACTTATACAGGGATAGCATGTTGAAGAAAATCAAAGGCGACAATTAAGGTATTTGGCCTATTTTTTCAAAAATCAGTGTTGCTTCCGCGTCATAACCTCTTTGCAAATAATATCTATGGATCTGCCAGTTAAGGTAAAAAATCTTTGATTTCTTTGCGAAAACAAGAATAATATTAATTATACCATCTTCGGTATTTAAGTATATCTACAAAAACATAATTGAAACAAATAAGTTATTCAAAAATAAAGCCTTTCTTTTGAAATTCACGTTGCAAAATTCGAATTTCGCGCTATAAAATGAGAAACGCATGAAGTTCGCGTTGCGAATCTGGCCGATTGATGTGAAAGATATTCCGAAGGCCGTGAGTGAACACGGAAATCGAGATGTGTGTGTGGTCAAAAAGACAGTGCAAGGTAGGGGTCGGGTGGCGTTTGTGATGGCAAAATTTTTGCAAATGGTGAGTTAGGAATTATTGACTTAACGCGCCTTCGTTTTCGTTTTGTTTTGTGCTAGTGAATTAATTGTGTGTTTAGAGAGATATTTGGTGTTTATTGATATTAAAATTCTTAGATTCTGTGATACGGGGATCGGCAAATGGCGCTACGAATAGCCAAAGTTGACACAACTACGCGTTTAGAAATCCCATAATTCTTCGGTTGCCAATTTTTAGGCACGCGGCATGATCTGTGGTAAACAACAAGTAGTGGTGCATCCTAAAATTCTTTATATCACGCGTATGGACCTAGCAACTGGGACATCCAGCTTGGCGATTATAACGGTGTCAGCATGTTGCGATTTTTTTGGCGAGCGGTACTACTTTTTTAAACTCGTTTATAGAAGCGGCTAGAGGTTTCCGCGTCCCGTAGGGTCGGTGGCCCCGCGATCTGGCTTCTGGAGCTAAATTACATAATGTATAGGTGTTGTTTGGAGCATGCAACAAGTAGATATGTGTCGGCGGGCTAACTGTCAATGTGGAGTACAGTAAGCTCGTTGCCCGCGGCCCCCATTAATTCGAGCCGCTGATGTCACTTATCTCTCCGCTCTCCTATCTAGGCCCTATGGCCGCCAATTTTTTGTACATAGTATCATAATGTAAATTTGATAACTGGCGCACGTCTCTAATTACCACTTGTTTAAATACTAAATGATGCAAATCTAGGTTTGTTCACAGAAAATGTTTTCGATTTTAAATTTTAGTCCTTACATTAATATAACCTTGTAATTTTTATGTATAATATTTTGAATACTAATTATGAGATTCAGCCATAGTATAGTTATGACTACTATTTGCAGCACGGTCACTGACATTAGCACCAACAATGGACCAGCAATTCTGTCTACGCTGGAACAACCACCCGAACAACCTGACTGATGTTCTTGCGAGCCTGCTACAAAGAGAGGCTCTGTGCGATGTCACCCTTGCTTGTGATGGGGAAACAGTCAAGGTAATGTATACCTCACATTTCACTTGTTTTGGAGTATTTTAGAAACTATTACCAGTATTTCAATAAAAAGTGACATGTCTGCTTATATTAGAATAGCTTAGCATTTTAAATTCCTCATATCCATAGAAAATCCAAATACATGAATTGTATGTATGTTACACATCATGGCATGATTTAGAAGAAAATTACTTTAAATGTTACACAGTTAAGTCATTTTTCAATATCATAACATAGTACATAGTAATCTTATGTCACTAGGAAGTGTATGTAAATATTGATATTCTGTTTGTTGCACTGACATGCAAGAGTTTATTATTATGCCACAACAAAATGCATTAAATAGTAAACAAACATGAGTAATACACTCATTTGCTGTTACTTATTGTTGACAATGCTTATTGAATGTTTTTATTTTGTGAAGCATTTTACATAGTTATAATTCTTATTTAAAAGCAACATATACAATGTTTTATTTGCAATTTAATTACAATTAAGGACCAAAAATATAAAAAAAAATTGTTCGGTTTCAGTTCCTTTTTTAACTTGTTGTGTTGAACAATTGTTTTTTTAATATTTAAGACTTAAAATTCTTTGGTAATGTGGAATAAATTTGTATAGAACAGAGGCTGGTTTTCTTAAAAATTATTGCAAATTATTAATTAATTCCAAGGACAGCAATAAAAATGTCTAATGATATGTGCTTACATAGCAGCTAGATAGATAGAGGAAGATAAGACATAAAATCTCGATTGTCATTTCAGTCAAATTGCTACCTTAGGCAAGTCAAGGTAGTCTTCATTGTAGATATTTAAATACTTGCAAATTTTACAAGGATCTTACTAAGATTAGATTTTTACTATACTCGCTATTTAAAATATATTTATATGTCTAAACTTCATTGATAAAACAATTTTACATTTGGCTGACAAGATATCTTATTGTATATAAATAATAAATTTTGATACAAAAAGTGTGAATGATAGTAAATTACTTTTATCAGTTAGTTTAGTCCATTACATGAATCAACTAGTAATGGGTTTTCAAAACAATAACTATGTTATAATTTTTATTTTGAGGATTCTAAGGTCAATAACATATGTAGACTAGCCACTTCTTTTATATGCCATTTAAATTCAACAATTAACTATGAAAGCTAAAGTTTTATGCTAATAAAATGCAATTTGTTTTGTAGGTTGAAAGGAGTTCTGCAGATCTGCATGTTTTTTTACTTTCTAATTTTTATGACTGTAGTTAAGCAGGTTTTAGGGTCTAGATTTAGACAGAATAAATGTTAATGTCAGCTAGCTGTCTAGCTAGTTCTGGCTTAAAAAATTTTCAAATTTTGTATTCACAAACAAACCTTGGCACTGTTTTTAGATGCAGAGTTTGTAGCAATATTTCCTTTTATTAGTGTATCAAAACCCAAAATAAAAAAATAACAACAAAACAAGTAACAATATTTTTTTCGTAATTAGTCCGTAACTGCTTTAATGCCTCATATTAATAAATAGCAGTCATATGTGAACTGGGGGATTTGTTTTTGTGTTATCATTTGAATCAATTAATCTATTGAAGTACTGTTTAGCCTTTCTCAGGAATGGAGACAGTTTTAATGGGACCTTTGCGGCATATGCATAGAAATATAAATTGTACACGTAAAAATAACAGATTAAAAATCTAATAGGGTTGCCTGCCAGATCGAAACGTATCATATCCGGGCAATTCCGTGTTGGACTGTGGTCGTAATAAAAAGTATATAATGTAAATGTAAAAAAATATAAGAAATGTTATTAAATAGGGAAAATGCCATTTATTTTCAAATAGTTACTTTTACTTTAACAAGTTTAGTAGATAGTTAACGCCATTTATACTTTGATGAAGAAAATGATGGCATGATTTTAAAAAATTGAGCAAATTCTTTGGTATGCTGGTTATTTGGTAGCTTTTACATTGAACGTTGCTTATATAATTTAGTCAATAAGGTCTTATTTCTCGATACGGCATAAGATCCGAAATTCGGGGACATTCCCGGCTTTCCCGGTCATCTGGCAAATATAGATCATGCACTTGTTAACCTTTAAGATACCAACAGAAAGTGCAGACACAAAGAAGTCTTGTACATAAAATATGTCCGACTTATACGGTTTTATTGAAATTTCGAGGAAACATCACGTTCTCGTAAAAAATAAGTATATCGTGCGGAATAGCGGATTAAAGTTAATTATGTGTAACGCTAAAGTCTGTGGGAGACAGGACTAGTAAACCTGCTACCTACTCAGTCTAGATACCGCTATCGTCTTTACAACATTCTTAGAGTGAATGTGTTACAGTTTATATGTATGAGCCGAACATTTCTTTTCTTGGCATTTACTTTTAAATGATAAAATAATTTACGTTTTAGCAAAATAAATTTGTGTTTAGGCTAAAAATGTATCAAACCTAAAATTGTTACCGAGGACGATTTCATTGAACAGTAGATTCGTAATTATACTATAAATAAAGTTTTAGTGAAAGTTCGTGTGTTAATGTTATGGATCGATAATTTGGTAAAAAAAGTCAATAAATTGGTGTTGACTATTCGTGACTAACTATTGCTAGGTGGACTTTGATTTGTGCTTCTGATACTATTGAAGATTACGACCTATACGAACGAGGAATATGCTGATATTATGATTTGATACTTAGTCACGAAAAGAAAACGAAACAGTCCAAAAATACAAGCCAAGTTTTCAACTAGATACTACTGGGTTGTACGCTGATTTTTAACAAAACAATTTTAAAAAAAAAACTTAAAAGTCCAATATCTTGAAAATGGTTATTTTTTGGGATATCGTATTTCGTAGTGAAATCTATCAGGAATGATGGCAACTGCAACCCCTTAAAGTATTTAGGTCGACTTACATCTTCGACGTAAGTTTCAGCGTTCATATTGCTATCTACAAAAACGAACTCTGTTCGTCTGTTCTTCATAATACCCACCCATACCATCTCTATGGAGCCACTGTAAGTGTGCACCTCTGGACGCATCTCAGCCGTTCAGCATTGAGGATGATGCACTCTTACCCTTCTTGTAACAGGCCTAAATCCAAACCGGGACTCATCGCAAAATATAGTTTTATCCCATTGCTCCTGGGTCCCTGTCAAGTGTTCCCTACACCGTTCGTTTCCACGGGCACGATTCCCATCACATATAGGACGGCACCTAATTGGGCGTTGTCCTCGTAGGCCGTATTCACGCAGCCTATTTCTGACGGTTCGGTGACTGTTAGTCACCAACTGTTAACACCACTTGAGAATAGTAGCTTTAAACCTATAACGGCGGTTAACATCACCTGACGTCTTGCAGTCAGTTGTATGTATCCGTCCTGTCTAGCAGTTGTACTCCTTCTAGGGTGCTGCTCAGCATAACCCCCTTGTATTAACATAACGCTGCCAAAGACGACAAATCACGCTCCTATTGACACCAATATTCCTGGTACCCAGGTAGCCCTGACCGCTTGTAGCATTCCTACAGCGGCGCCGCTATTTAACTGCTGATGAAATGCAGAGCGCTCATCAGCAGTCAAATGGCGTCGCTCCATGACATAAAAAATGACTCACCACTAAATTTCTGCAAAAACCGTATATCTCAAAATGATAAAAGTGTGAGATAAATAACAAATTTATCAAACGAAAACATTAAATCGGGAAAAATAATTAGCTATTATTTAAATACAAACCAAACGCATTCGAAATGTTTATATTTTTAAAATCAGCCAGTATATGTTTCTAAGAACAAAAAAGATTGTATAGCAATCTATTTTACAAAGAAAAAAAAAATAACATGCAGTTTCTGTAAATGATATGTGTTACTTGACTTTTGATGTGTGTATAACCGTAGTTTCTTATAAGATGGAAGAGATGGACATGGATAAAAACCTAATTGAAAGTGAAATGGCTAATAGTATAAACATACATATAAATAGAATTAAAAAATGTGATGAGACTGCTTTGTTGTGTGTATGGCCATGTTACATTGTGAAAAGTAAAATTGTAAATTTTTCCGACGTACGTAAAAGTTGAAGAGGCACAATTATCATATGAATTGAATGCGAATTGTTTAGCGGGATTTTTTCCTTTCGGGTCAATCAAATAATAAAAAAATCTATTAAACTTTAAAACCTGGAAATATTTGTCTATATGCGACGTGTCTACTTTAAATAAAATAATATCTTGAAATAATTACGGACTATGAATTTCATTTCTGTGGGAGAACAATGATGTTCAAAAATATAAAAAATGTGTAGGTACCATACTATACCGATTTAAAAATTTAAAAGAAAGCTTGTTGCAAAATAGAAACTCAATGAGAATACAAATCAAATTCATAATTAACGTTTACATCTTTAAAACATATCAATAAAACAGCTATTCATCTATGTTATAGAAGTTATGATTAGTATCTATTTTTTTTAGCCTGACGCCTGCCATCTTTCATAATTATTTAGGCAGTATTGAATGTTCTTAGATTCTAATAAAGATAATATTTCTATTGTGTAGGTATACTATGTTTCTAAATATATATATATAAATATATATATATATTCGATATAGATATATATATTCTGTCAGTATACAATTTGCCGTTCTTTGGAAGCTAAGCTAAAAGGAAAACAGTCGCTCAATTTAGATATCCCGTTTTCGCGTTATCTTACGGTAACTTATACTGCTAATGCCCTCCATCGTATTTTATACTCGAGTATGGAATCAATCTGAATCGTATTTAAACGTTCGTGTGTACGTGAGAAATATTTTGCACCTGTCAATAATCAATAAACTAATAATAATCAACTATGAAACAAAAATAACAGCACTGCAAAGGGAAGGGAAACATGGCACAAACCTTTTTTTACCAAACCGTCTGGCCAGCGTGGTATAGAAGGCCAAAACCTCTTTTCTAAGGAAGAAAAAACATATTTGTAGAATAAAAATTAGGTCTTGGTTACCTTTTGTATATGATTTACATCTTATTGTCATTAGAGTCTAAGAGAGGCCTACGTCGAGCAGTGGACTATTAAAGGCTTGATGTGATGTGAATAATCAACATTGTACCATCTGTTATCAACATGAGACTTTTCATCTGATTATTATGATTTTATTTTCTGATACCGACATTCTCGTCATACCTCCACTAAAAAGAATTGTACATGTATAAGTCCACTACATTACGACTGCCTACATTCTACCTACAATTTAAATTCATCGTTAATATGTATTAAGATTTATTTTTGCACAAAAATAAATCAAATGACAGACATAAAAAATAGCAGCTACTGAACTCAACTCAATTTTATTTGAAATTAAAAGTGTCACCGACTTTAATACCATCCATTAGGGTTGAAAATGAAGGAATGAAGAATACAATTTATTACATTGCATCGTGACCTAAGCGCGTTGAAGTCGGTGATACTTTCCAAAAGTTTTTTTTACCGTTTATATACTTATTTAACATATTCACATTTAAAAATAAATACATTATTTTGTTTATAACTGATTACAACCCATTACAATAATATTAGCTTGTATTTTGAGTAATAGAAAATCAAGATTAATACGATGTTTTCGACTTGCATTTACAATTGTAAATCAAAAATAAGTCAGTTGTGGATGACGATTAGGTAAAACCAGGATATGCTCCTGGCATACTGGCATATTCAGATCTAAATTTTTAATTTTATAATCTATTTAGTATGGAAGAACTCCTGACAATGGCCACAAGTAAAACTAAGTAGCAACTTAAGTCTGAAAATTTAGTCCATGAAGAAACGTTTACAACCTAATTGTAATAACAATAAGTCTGCCAAAAAGGTAGTTATAAACTGTTTCTATGCATATAATGCTAACAGAATCGTGGAGACCTTCACATAGCTCTGTATCATCATTTCTTTTGTTTAAATTACATCTTTACGTAGTACAAAATAAAGTCGCTTTTTTGTGTTGTACGCTTAGATATTTTAAACTAAGCAACGGATTTTAATGCGGTTTTCACCAATAGAGTGATTCAATAGGAAGGTTTATATGCATAATACATGCAAATTATAGTAGAGAAAATCTGAGAATTTCAAAGATTTGTTGTAAAAAACATGTTTTTGTGCGCTTACATTGCAAACGCTAACTAAACCTTACCAGATAAACCAAAATAATGTACTACGGACTGTATATCTTAAAAAGTCCGCGATGGTATATGTCTATCTCCTAAGGTTGACCCACAGTGACCATTTTTATCTTTTAAATATTACAAAAAAAAATGGTTTATTTACGAAGCTATTTTAAACAATACATTATTATTCCTTATCCAATACGTTAGATACGTTATGCATTTAATGTAGATTAAAGTTGTTCTTTACAGCAAATCATTAAAATAAATATTTTATAAGATATCAGAGTTTTAAAATGCGGGCGAAGCCGGGGCGGATCGCTAGTATGCTATATTTAAAAAGCTAGTTGTGTTGTTGTTTGTGATGTTTGATTTTTCTCGATTTGTTTCAGGCGCACCAGACGATACTATCAGCGTGTTCGCCTTATTTTGAAAGTATATTCATGCAAAACTCACATCCACATCCAATAATATTCCTCAAAGATGTACGATTCTCAGAAATTAAATCTCTTTTGGATTTCATGTACAAGGTATTATATCACAATAGTAGTAGTGTATTTTAAATCATGCAAATCTTTAATATTATTATAACAATATTATACCCATAATTAACTAAACGTTTTTTTCCCAGGGTGAGGTCAATGTTGGCCAAAATATGCTACCTATGTTCCTAAAAACTGCTGAAAGTTTACAAGTTAGGGGTTTAACGGAAAATAACACATTAAATCCAAAGGTAAGTGTAATCCTCTTTACTTTAGAGTTGTCTACTTGATTGTCATTTATATTACACTAGCTGACCCGTGCCCACTTCGTTGGGCATAATGTTAATAATCCTTTTTTAGTACAGAGTGTTATGTTTTAATTTCTAACTGCCAAAAAGAGTGTTATACGTAGGTATAGTTTGTATTTGCATGCTAATACAAAATTCGAAAGTAACTCTGTCCGAAAGAAAAAACATTTTCTGCGGGATTTGCGATAAACGAATTCCATCAGGACCAAGTCGCGGGAAAAGTTAGTTTGGTTATGGTAATTTTAATTGTTCAAAACTTCTCTGTAAACTATATTGGATGTAATGTTGTCATTTAGTAGCAAAATATATTGCCTATCAGGAGTTCCAACCCGAGATAAGCTAATATATAACTGCCCATGGGAAAAACACGGCTTTCTCAGGTCAATGCCCACCAGAGAGAATGTTTGACCTTGGGACTTGTTAATAGTGAGGGCAAAAGAGATCTTCACTGGAAATTGTAGCCTTTTAAACGGTATGAGTAAATCAGTGGGAATCATGGGTATCCGCGGAATATAAGCCAGTTGTCCCACTGCTGGCCCTGTGAGAATGGTCGCCACGATTATATTGTCCCGTAACTCTTTTGTAAGCAGCCTTGTCCCATTACACATGTTTGGGGGGCTCAAGTTACTTAATAGCATGATAGGAATGCCAACTTTTAACACAAGGTCGTGAAGAGGTAAGCCAGAAGGGTTCAAAGAATTTAAAAATTCTTGGGGATAGTGCACTGTATCCTCAATATTACACACCGTATCAATAGACTTATAGTGTTTGACCTGACCGGGAATTTTCTCTAAAATGAGTTTATTTATTTCATTCACTGTATCGTTTCTGGGTGACACTATTCAATAAGATGTTCCAACCTGTGCAATATGTGTCCTAATGTCTCGTCAAGTCTAATGTAATTGCTGTTGGTGTTAGGAGAGACAATTTTTCCTTCGCCAAGATTGAGTAGTTGACGCGGAAAGTCGTCATCGTCGTTGTCGCTCAAATGGGCTCTCATGTTTGTTCGTAAATTGAGAGATGCAACCGAACTCCATAAGGGAGATGATTTTAAGCATGCTCTGATGACATCGGCGCGTGTTCCTTTTGTTACTACAGGCAGTGTTTGCCGAAAATCGCCCGTGAAAACAAAAGTAACGCCACCCATTACAGCATCAGAGTTTCTGAGGTCTTTGAGCGTTCGGTTTACTGCTTCAACATGAGCTCTATGACTCATGGTACATTCGTCCCATATAATTAAAGATGTTTCTTGTAAAAGTTTCCCGAGTGGCCCATTTTTACGTATGGAACAAACTGACTGTTGCTCTAGTGAGACTGTCAGAGGTAGCTTAAAGGTGGAGTGCTACTTTTTGTAACTTAAATATAAAAGTTAGACATATGCTGTCGTTGACTTTTTTGTAGGCATTTTCAAGCTCCACATCTTTTTTCTAGAACTCAAAAATATATCTTTCATAGTTAAGGCAGCGTTCGTAAGAAACGCTTTCATTCGACCGTTTTTTCTCCGATTCATTTTGCAAAACGGACTACCACGTAAAAGCCTTTTTATTTTTCGGTTTTTTATATAACCTATGACACTCAACAATAATGTGGCTTTCTATTGGTGAAAGAATTTTTAAAATCGGTTCAGTAGATCCCGAGATTACCCCTTACAATTTAACAAATATACAAACACACAAACTTTACTTCTTTATAATATTAGTATAGAGTATAGATAACCTGTATAAAAATACAACCTTAAAAGCTGTTGAAAAAATTGTATCGAATATCTTACCGATCGATAATTCTATAAATGAAATATCAAGTAAAATATAAACTTAGTAAGTTTTTTTATTGTTATCTTATTCGTTACCTCTTAGTAACTTAAGTAAATTTTAATATACGACTCTAAAAATAGTGACAGTGACTAGCCTACACACAGCTACTGGCATACTCTACCTGCTAATTTGTGCCACGCACTTAGGGCAAATGTAGTTCCATTATCCAACAAATGGAATGGTAGAAATAATTTATTTCAGGTCTTTGGAACTCCAAAATACTACACTATGTTTTAGTAATGATGGTTTATCACAATGAGTATATTTAAGTATCTTAACCAAGAACTTAAGATTAGACCGTTCGCTTCCAGTTTTAATGTCTACTTTAAATGACCTTAAATTTGTTGTTCATTAGCATAATTTAAATATTTTTACAATTTAAATAATAATAAGATATCTATTGCGCTGGATGTAATCTTTCTTTAAAAGTAGTCGATGTCCTTGCACATCAATAAACAGTCGACGAGTATATGTATATTATGAAGCTATTCAACGTATTACTTTTCGCCAACCTTGAAATATTTAAATCAAACCTGGCTTTAGGCATAGACACCTCTGGACATTATAATATTTATGCTTTGAATATAGCCAACATAGAGATAATAATAAATTATAATCTAATACACATAGTTAAAATTCGTGTCTCATGCTTCGTTCATAAACTTAGGACCTAGAAGAGATTCACCTAATTCGTACGTCGCGATACCGTTAGAGTAAAAAAGATATGCATAAACGCATCAACTTAAGAAAAACCGTTGCAATATGATTTTCTCGGCGAATATTATTTATTGGACATAAAAGGAAATAAGTTGTAGCCCTGGTACTATGTATTTAAAGTAGTTTCTGACACAAATAACAGTTATGCTTGCTTTATTGTTTAAGATATGCTTAAAGATATTTGAACAAAATCTAGGAAGACTACAGCCATTTACTAAAACTGATTTAAGCTATTTTTACTACACGTTAAAAGCAAGAGGAGCTTACTACTTCCGAGTTTTTGTACTAAACTTTATACGATGTTTAAATACTATAGACACGGAGTGCTACTTCAGTTATGTTTTAAAACCTGTTTTCGATTGTCGAAGATACGTCATTATTTATGGTTTGGGAATCAGTTTTAATCTTTATCATCGGTCGGGAATCGGTTAATCCGTGAACAGAACTACTAATACGAAAAACTAAGCTACATCTCTTGAATTAACGGAAAATCGATTACTCAACATTATCATTGAGTCATCCATTCAGATGCATTATAAAGAACACTGTGAGGTCGTTAACCTTTTTTAATATTTTACCGTAAGGTAGCCGGTTATTTTGCAAGTGTGATTTTCTTAATACGTTTAATGATTTTGTTTACTAAATTCGCAGTCCGAGGATCGATCGACGCCATCAGTTAGTGCCGAAAATCTTTCTCGTACGGAGTCTTTCGCCACGCCTCCTACGGCACATTGTCCCCCACCGGCCCCACACACGCCTCTGACGGCCGCTCCACCTGCACACCCCTCGCATCCCTCGCACGCTGGGAAGAGACGCAGAGCGAATTCTGCCGTACCCAGGGATGACGTCGAACTACCACCCTACCGCCATTATGAGGTAATAAAGCGTTTATATCAATATATAATGTTTATAGATTCACCTACAATCAGTAGGCATATCGTGTTATTCCTAACGCTCATTTTTTAAGTAATGAAGTTGGTACCAGCTATCGAATTTCAGTATAATTATGTAAGTTAAACACAGTAGAAATTATTATAAAATGTAGTCGATGTCGGTACAATGTGAAAGAACATCTACGAAATACTATCTACTAAAAACAAAAATCCGGACTTGTTAACCGATCGCCGCTGTACCGACCCGCAGGGGCATGTGAAAGTGAAGAGCGGCTCGACGGGTTCGGGCTCGGAGCCGTCCACGCCGCCGCCGGCGCACGCGCTTGGCCGCGCCACGACGCCGGCGCTGGTGAAGCAGGAGCGCCCCGAGGCCGACGCGCACGCGCCGCACGCGCCCTACGCGCCGCATACGCCGCTGCACCCGCCACCGCACTTCGACCAGGGCCACCTACAGGTCTCTACGTTTATGCCTATTTCTGTTTGTGCAATATTATGTACTTTTGGATCGGACACTGTTCACGTACTAAATTTGCTGTTCATATACTTAGTTATGTGCACCTGTGATCTTGCGGTAACCTATCGTGTCTTGAATTTAAAATTTCCCTATCTGTGTTATTTCATATTATTTTATTTTATGATTCATCAATTCCACTCGACGACCTTTCCTAACCTACTTATTTGGATGATCTTTTTCTTCTGTTTATTTCGAAACCTTTTATTCCCCAATGCTTGTGCATTTTGCCGACAGGAAGGAAAGGATCTGCCAGAATACAAAATATTGCAAAGCAAAATTTTAAAGCAGAGCCTTTCCTTCTTTGTTGGCAGAGCACTGGCTGGATTCAGGCGGCATGTGAGGAAGAATCTAAGTGCGCGTTATTGGATCTCAGCCCTAACCGACCTAGTAGCAACATTCTCGCCTCGATCCTCGCGCGGCCACCCGAACAAATCGATCCACCCGTAAAAGGAGCCAGACGATCTCCTCTTAATCCTAAAAAAATAGGCAAATTCCGCGCGAGTTGGTTAACGCTTTACCCTTGGTTAAAATACGACAAATCTCAAAACATTATGTTCTGCACATATTGTAGAAAATGGTCACACGAGTTAACAGTCAACAGATCGTCTTTTATAGAAGGCAATGCTAATTTTAGACTAGAAATCGTAAATCATCACGATAAATGCAAAGCCCATAAATATTGTAGAGATCGCGAAAGTTTTAATGAGACAATGCCATCAAATGCCATATAAAAATAAACTTAAAATTGTATTGTTTACTTATTGCTTTTAAAGTTTTACTGTTTTCGAAACAGACTCATTAATAATTCTTTCGCCTGATTGAATAATTGAGAGGCTGTGATAACTTTTATTACTCTTGATAGCTCCAGAATATTGCCTTTATCACCATCTAAGTGAAAATGGTGTTGATATACATATTTAAAAAATATATAAATAATACGAAATAAAATGTTAATAAATGTTAATGTTTTTAAGCCGTTTTATTTGTATAATTACCCTACCAAAACAGTACAATAGGATGTTTCGATTACCTTGCAGTACAATTTTGAAGATTCTATTGTTATAATCTATAAATGTACCTAGTACTAGAATGAAAATGTAATAAATGAATTATAAAGTTATGTAAACCATATGCTGATATTTCAGGGTATTGGAACAGAAATGGCCTCGATGTTGGCCAACACCCAGCAGAGTCTAAACAATGAATGCAACGATAATGAGCCTATCCTGCAACCACACCCAGATCAGACAGATACCATAGATGGTAAGTTCTTTTTAATGATGTAACGGCAACCATTTTACCAATGCATGCTTTTACAAAACTTGGTTGTCGTTTAGTTATTTACGTAAAGAATTATAATCCTTGTCAGATGAATAAATAACTTGCGCTCATGGTAGAAACAAAAATGTTTCGCTTAATTTTTCAACATACACAAGCATAATAAATTCGATTGTTAATTGACAAAGATTATACAAACCCCCTAGTATTATAGGCATTGTTTGATGCTTTTAGTAAAATATGATTTTGCTTCTCATACTAAAGAAATCCATGAATTTTGAACTAATTTAACATCAAAATCCTTGATCTAATTCTAGTTAAAACTTCTGGACCACGTCGGCCATCAAAATATGCATGTAATTTTCCTGCAGCATGTCACTCATGGCTTGTTCTTTTCATAATTAATTTGCTCCGATCATGACTGCTTTTCAGTTCTTTTTTCTCGGTATCATATGCTTTTAAGTATTTTTATATTTGTTACGAAGAAATCGGTGTCATAAGATTTCCTGATGATTTGGCGCCCCTGAGGGTTATAGGTCATGCGAATGAACTTAATTACTAGCGATTTATGAATTTCAAGATTATTATAGTTAACTGCATAGGAAGGGTGTTTTCCTAAGTTTAAGCGGAAGGTTTTAATTTAAGGTGTTTCTGTTGTTTGAAACAGCATAGTCTTGTTGAAGGGTTGCATGTTATGAAAGGGATAAGGAATGGTATTGCAAGAACTACAATAATTGTTTTTGTGCATTGATTGTAATCTAAATACTATTGGGAAAAATAGCATGACAAATAACAATGTTGTATCAGCAGTGAAGACATTACATATCTTACAGGTGAAAACTGTGGCGTTGACGAAAATAAAAAACCATGGGAACCATTCACCAATAAACTAGCGAATCTTGAAAACATTGTTAAATCTTTCGGTCTTGGACTAAATACCAGACCTTATAATGTGCCAGAGCCTTGTAACGTTTGTGGCAAAGTCGTGAATAATATAAAAAAACATTTGAAATCGCACAACCCGGAGCAACACAAATGTCCAATTTGTCCTATAGTTCTCACACGGGCAGATAACCTAAAGAGACATCTTCGCATGAAGCATTGTTCTGTTTTAAATACTAATATGTCTAATATACAGAAAAATTGCGAATTAACCTAGTGCTCATAACTCTAAAGAATAGGAATGAATCTTATTGCTAGTAAATTTCGCGTTAATATTTATCACTAACTAATACTCGGTTATACATAACATTGTGTGATCATATTTTTGTAATACTTGTTATTTCCTAATACTCATTTCGTAATTAACACTTGTGATCATATGAATCAAGATTTATCTAGTTGCATCACTTTAAATGCAAGACATTGTTACTGTAACAAAATGCTTTGGTGCAGTGGTTCTAACCAAAGCAAATTTTGTATTAGAATTAAGGTGTGGTGTGACTAATTTCGTTTGGTTTATCATTATAATCATGAATTGAGATTGCAGTTTACGATAAATTTATATATTTGAAACTGTATAGCAAAAAATTTTGTTTCAAAAAATATATAAATATTGCGCCTTTCTTTTCAAAAAAGCTTGATTTTGTTATAAATAATATAAATTTGGCTAGAAGAAAATATGAACTATGTAATGTTCCGTTCATAGTTTTTCGTCATTTTGATAATTTACTATACTCTAAAATTCTTAAGACGTTAAACTTACATACCTAATGTCAATCACGATAAGACAGTCAGACTGATCGCGTCCAAATGCAAAAATTCTAGTCTATGTGAACTACTTTGTTGCCAACATTTAAATTCTTTTCTCCCATCAAATAACAGTATTCCAGGAGTTCTAAGAAATACATAAATAGGCACGGACACGTGACACTAAGTCATTAAAAACATATTACGAGACCATTGAAACAAAGAGCGGGAGAAGAAACGGACTTGTTGTCAAGTGGTTAGTGATGCTGATGGCCAAGTGCGGGTTTATTTCACATTTACTCGATCGTCACCGTTACCGCGTTTGGCGCTACTATTGGCCCGTGCTGAAATCTCCACCAATCGCAACACTAAACGCGCTCTCCATGGAGAGCGAGTCGATGTGAAATAAACTTGCACTCAGCCCTCAGATCACTAAACAGAGGCCTATGTGTAAGTTTATTTCACATCAACTTCCTCTCGATAGTGAGGCGTTTGGCGTTGGATTGGTTAAGAGTTTAGTTCGGGCGAGTCACAACGCCGAACGCGGTCACCGTGACGATCTAATAGATGTGAAATAAACTTATAATAGGCCCTCAGAGATAATGATTTCGGTTGCCACCCATAACAAATAATTGTGTAACGAGCACGATCATTACGAGCATCAAAATAAACTCACACTAGGGTCTCGAGGGCTAAGTGTAAGTTATTTCATATCAAGTCGATCGTCACGGTGAACGCGTTTAGCGTTGTGATTGGTTGGTCCGCACTGAAATCTTCACTAATGGCAACGCCAAACTCACTTGCCATCGTGAGCAAGTTGATGTAAAGTAAACTTACAGTGGCCCTCTGGCTTTGCCTGGCTTGGGAAAAGACGGTGTACTGCCAACGCAAATCCGCACGAGCCACCGAACCACCTCTTCCAATCCACATCTTATAATTACGTATATAATCCAGCCATTCTTTTACACTTCTCCTGTAATGCACAGGGGTTGCCCTGTGCATTCCAGGAGACTATCATGCTGAAACCACACGCCGCGAATGAGATGAAGTGGTAAATCATCAAGTAAGTTAGTAAAATTGATCCCAAAAACTTTTCGTACTGTTCTCGGGGAGAAAAAAATATCCGATCCAGTGGTTTGACACTACCCATCTACACATACAATTTAAAGCGTCTTTGTTGCCCCCTTTATCCGCGTCATATTAGGATTTATCAGTGCTTGCCAGTAATTAACGCTCAAGTAATTCGCTATACCGTTTTTATCTTTGGACTCGTGTACATGAAATGTCTCAAAAATAAAATAACGGGTCTTCTAAATCTACATTTAGCATAAATCTGCAGAAATCCAACCTTTTCAAAGTATCTTCTTCTTCAATAAATTGTACCAGTGACGTATATTGCGCATATCACTATGGGTATAAGCCCGTATAATAAAGGTCGTAGCCGACTTAAACGACTCCTCCCACCCAACCAAAGTATGAGCATTTAAATATGGACTTAACATCGTGCTCTGTAGATGCACTTTACAGTATCTGCTTTTTTTGTACTGTAAAGTCGATCAACAAATCTGCAGTTTAACTGTCATAGAATTTTTATATTATTTGTCAATATTTTTTTTGTGTAAATTTATTTCTTATTGCTATTATTAACCATCTTTTTCGGTCCAGTTTGTTACGTTAACTAAAATTTTAGTAATTGAAGTTGTAAAACAATTTATCAACCACACAAATACAATAAAAAAGCATGAAATAAAGGATATACTTTCTAAAGAAATTGTATTATGCAAAATTTCGGCAATTTAAAAAACATTTTAGTCTAATATGTTCAAAATTGTTAGGTTTTGGATATAGTATTACATACTGAAATCTATCAGATATGATGGCAACTACAACCTCTTAAAGTATCTAGGTCGACTTACCCAGGAACCCTATAATCTCGAAATTTAATATTTCTTCAACATTCAAGGGTATTAAGCAAAATTCGAAATAAGTAAAATATTGTTTTCACTAATACGTAACTCTCAAATAACGAACTTGGGTTGGCATTATGAGTCTATTTAAAGAAAACTATTGAATATTTAGGACTTCTTAGTGAAATGAAGCAATTAATTTGGTAAAGTGCAAGCGAGTTTTCACTATAGTTGAAACTCGTCGTTTAAATATTACGTCCGAAGGTCTTATCGTGTGTTGGCGACTTTAGGGAGATTATTTTTTTAGTTATGACGTTATAACTTTGAAAACTTTAAATGTTACACTATTAAATTACGAAAATTATATTAGCTCTTAATTAACCTTGTTTTTATTTGCTAATTATTGACTTATTTTCGTTTAATATTGTAATGTGCTCAAACATAATATACTACTTAACACTATATGTTATTAGTATTTGTTAGTGTAATATCCAAAGCCAACAAATTTTAGTCAACGATTTAAGTATTATATATGTAGATAAGGATTATTTGATTCAATTGGTCAGCGTCTTGAGACTTGTAAAGAGATAAACAGTTGCATTTTCAATCCCGTTTTTTTAACAGGCGGTAAATCTAAAACTAACTAATAATTTGTTTTAAAGAAAGAAGTAACTGTCGAGTAATTTTCTTTTTAATATTAAGTAAATTCATTTGATAAAAGACTGCCGATCAATTGATCTGCCTTCATAAATCAATTAAAACCAAAAATGATGTACCAACATGATCTCTTTATTATTGTAGTGTAATGAAATAATGTCGGTTATATAACCATTAGCGTCGAAGACTGATTTTGTGATTTAGAAACATACCTCGTATTAATAAATATTAATTTATATTCCCTTTTAATTCATTTACTTTGTCTTTAAGTCTATCGTTTTTGTGTGTTTGTTGCAAATATATTCCTTTATTTATACCACTTTCTTTTCATTTCACCTCTATACATGCTTTTTATATATGGCAGACCTATTTCTCTCTATAAAACGCCTTCTGCATTTACAGGCTTGGTGAAAGTAATTAACAAGATTTTCACGCAAAAATAACACTGATAAATTAACAAACACCATTTCTTCAGTATCATTGACTCATTTCTGCATGGATCTCCATTGAATATTTCTATTCTGTTATAAATAAATTCTTAAGTTTTTTTTAAATTTTATTAAATATTAACGCTTTTATAACATATAATAGTTCTAGGAAAGGCATAGTACAGCGATAACAGTTAACATTAAGGCTTAAATAGTGCTAAAGTACTACAAAACTATTGTAATTAATAAACCAATATTTGAGAACCACTTATAAACTGTCATCACGTAGCGAATGCCCCAGTACCAACGTCGGTCGCACGGTCTCTTTCTTAGATGTACATATAGTTGGTAACGTGACTGAGTTCCGGGGCGAGCGTGGCAGTTGGCACTGCGGCATTGGGTCGCGTGACGTAGCCGAATGAGGGTCGCGGTTGAGAGAGTGGGAGTGACGGATCGCTGGTTGCAGGCTCAAAGGGCTGGCACATGCGGCTGACGTTCGAGCGGGTGGCGGGTGCGCTCAACCTGCACCGCTGCAAGCTGTGCGGCAAGGTGGTGACGCACATCCGCAACCACTATCACGTGCACTTCCCGGGGCGGTTCGAGTGCCCGCTGTGCCGCGCCACGTACACGCGCTCCGACAACCTGCGCACGCACTGCAAGTTCAAACACCCCGCGTACAACCCTGACACGCGCAAGTTCGAGCCGCCGCCGCCGCCCGCGCCCGCGCCCCCGCACGGCCCGCTGTTCGCCAACCCGCTGGACGCGGGCTTCGATTGATTGTCCATGTACTGGCTCGGCCTCGACGCTCTGTGAGCGCCCAGTCCCGGCCAGCTCAGACTCTGTCGTTGTTGATGTGTCAAAATTTTATCGGACCGTCTCGCGTCGAAACCGCTTCCTATTTAGGATTAAGCTGAAGTGCTATTACTTAAACGGGCCTTTCTTGACGTAGCCCGCAAGACGGGCGACTCGTTTTAGTATCGGTTGTGCGTTTGACTTGCCCCAGTGTGATCTTATATAAGATTCCTTGTCTGGAATGTACCTATGTCGATGTTAATGAATAATGACTCGAAACGTATATAGTAGGTAAGCAAATTTTTTTCTATACCAATCGCTATACGGGAACGGGCAAAAGCAATAATATGATGTTAATTTTACTATTACCATATTATTTTTTATATTGTATCGATAGAAACCTTAAGATATTAAGAATATACATTATATCGAGTAGCGGTGCTACCGCGAAGTGATGCTGGCTATTAGCAGTGGCCCAGGTACACGGGCTCACATTTTCTTGTTATATTTATTCATTAGATAGGAAATTATGAGTTTCCTGTAGCTAATTGTATTTATGTTATTAATGAATCCTGTGGGTGGTATGGAATGACATCAGAAGGAATTTGGGACTGGCAAGAGATTGTGATTTGTCGTTGGTCAACGACATATAAATATTGACTGAATCTCATTGTAGATGCATTTGTAACTCTTTGAGGCCTTTGCAAGATGGATAATTATTAAGGATTTGTGATGTATTAAAAGGATAGCGCCTAAGGAAACATACGAAAAGATTTTTATACTAGACTAGTTGATCTATTTACGGAGATTGTTTTTTTTTTATACTTAGATATATTCTATTGTCTGATTTAATATACTTTTATATTTATATAACGGCATATATAATATGATTTATTAGTGTTGTTTGTTTTTAATCGATTCATCATAATTAGTAACATTGATTTTGTTTATATTGAGTTGTCAGTTAAAAGTAATCGAGTTGAGATGTTAACATGTTTTATTATTTTATCGTTGGTAGGTGTTTAGTTATGGTAACGGGCGACGCGACCCGTCCCGTCGCCCACTTGTGTGATCGGTGCTTGGGGTCAAAGACCTCTTTCAATCAATTAATATAAGTTAGGATGGAGCGTTTGAAGGTTGCGCATTTAGTAACTAATATTGGCATTCTACGATTGGGACTAACCTAGCGTTTATGTATGTATTTTCAATTAAGATTAAGATTGTTACATTTTTAGCTAAACACTTTAGAGTGGTACGGTAACTGAAATGTGATAAAAAGGAATGGTGCTAGAACCAAGAGTGTTAACACGCTACGATTCGACTCCTATTATAATATTATTAATGTTTTAATGATTAGTTACTTTGCATTAAACGTAAGGCATCTAGCATCCAGTTGAGGTCGCATCAGTCTGGTCAACGGGTATATAATGCATGGATCGTTACACGCCTAGAGATTACAGTATCACTCGAGATTTTACCTTAATTTTCAGAGATCTTCAAGTTTACTAGTACATTAATATATAATGTTAAGACACATTTACATAATATATGAATCTGATCCTTGCCTACCAAATATAAAACGATCAATGATGGTGTTAGGATTAATCACCCCAATAGTGAATACGCGATCGTTTCCATAACTTGAGTTGTGGCGTTAGTGCTGTTTAGTAGCTGTGAACATGCAATTCCACTTGTGCAATTTTTTGAAAATAGTCATAACTTTTAGCTAGATTTATACAATTGACTATTGAATATAGGGGCCCACTCGAATGTAAGCTCATGAGTCCCTGTATATACATTATTATTATTATTATGAAGTCACCAAACATTTCTTCCATAAAGATTTTATATTTACTTTAAGGATATCAAAGATTTTTATACCTACTGTTCATTATAATGTGGGCGCTTATTATTTAATAGCATTTCATACTCAGTGCAATATTACTAGTTATTTAATTACGTAACCAAACTAAATGATATTAAAAATAATATATAATTAATATCATTGAATGAGAGTAACTACCTATTTGTATTTACATAAGTGAACTACTCCTAATTTCTTTTTCTACTTAGTGAAACAGTTCGGTTACGGTGATGTACAGGTTTTATAGCTGGTAATATTAAGAATTAGCTTGTTTACCTCTGCCAATCGTAATAGTTATGTACTATTTAATAATTTATTATCGCGCAAGTTGTCGTCTATTGTTAAAATAGATCATAGCTATCCGTTACGGGTCCCATTGCCCAGCGAGTCGATGAACGTGATGATCTCCCGGTCAGCCCACGCGTTTGACGCTTCATCTAATCGTGAATGCATTTTTATATTACTATCACTCGAGACCAATTTTTAATATTGAATTTGCTATAGCAAATTGATTGATTAGTAACATAGAATATTATTTTAGATATTTTAGGTTAGGATACTATGATAGTGTCTGGCCAGAATATTTTGGAGTATCACACCGTTTGGCTCAGAAAATATCTACCTTTGATCTCTTTTCAGCTTTCAAGAAGTATGCAACTTAATAATTGTAATGGTGACCACATTTGGACTTAATGAAAGCTAACTTTATGCCATATGGAATTTTAAACATAAGGTTAACGAATTACTAAATTTAGTCTTATGAAATTGGGGTCTTGTAGACCTAGTCACTTATTTGGCCAATCTATTGAATATTCCAATTTATTGTATATTGAAATTTACATAATATCACAAGAAACGTGATCTTATCATTTGAATCAATGGAGTGCAGGATGAGCTCTAAAATTATTTTCAGGATAGCAATGGTCTAGTTATGTTTATTTTGTTTCTTCTTTAACATTAGCAAATTTTGTTATAGTGTCGTATATCACAATAGTGTAATACTAATAGGGAGGGGGTGTCAAATCGCGTACCTCACGCTGATGAGCCTTGTTATATTATTACATGAAATTTTATGAACGATTTGTTGTTTATAATTATTTTGTTTGATGTCTTGGTTTGATGCCTCCGTTAAAAGTTTAATTTAAATAATTTTGTTTTATGCAAGCAGTTAATGCAATTTTTTTTCACATTGTTTGATGTTATGTAATGCAATTTTAACATGTTGCAAACTCCTGCATTTATCTGTTGTATTTATTACTAATTTTTACATTAAATTGTGGTATGTTACAAATCCGTGTAGTTTCAGTTATGCGTATAACACGCCCCAAACCCACCCGCATACTATAGCGTTCATTAACCAAAGCGCACGGCCTTACCTCCGGCGTGTCTGTACTACTGTCGGCCGACAGTGCGTCGAGGGCGGACCTCCCAGTAAAGCAATTTTAGCAGAGAAAGTTTGGGGTATCGGGTCGTGCGATGGCGACGTTCGGCAAACCCACCCGGTTTGGTTGCAGAGCGCGTGCACATGCCGAGCCTACAGTACTCGTACCACAGCATGTTCGTGGCCGTGGCGGAGAGCGCGGCCCTGTGGCGCTGCAAGTCGTGCGGCAAGGAGGTGTCCAACCGCTGGCACCACTTCCACTCGCACACCGCACAGCGCTCGCCGTGCCCCTACTGCCCCGCCACCTACAGCCGCATCGACACGCTGCGCTCGCACCTGCGCCTCAAGCACGCCGCCATGCTGCTCAAACACTAAGCGTCAAACACGTCACATCGCTCAACTAACACCTTAAATACAGAAAATGACTGTCATGTCTACGTTTTCCACCACAATTTTGCAGGAAACAGGCAACATCATAGGATGTAGTCTGGTGTACGATTACTTGACACGTAAAATTAATGCTAATTAACTAACATCTGACCGTAACGCCCCCGACCTCTACCTTGCTCTCGACCTGTGAGCACGCTCGCGCCTAAAGCGCGAAAGTCTTTCTTTGTATTTCTTATTGAATGTGAGTAGGCTTTAGTTTATTGTCGTGCGTCACGTGACTTGGATAAGAGTATGAGTTATCGCACGTTTTCGTGCGTTTTTTTAAATCGTTTTTTATCAGTAAGATATTGAATTATGTTATGACTAATTTTAACTAACAGGGTAAATTAAACAGTTAAGCTACACGAGAGCTTTTAATCTACAGATTTTAAGCTGTTTCGTTAGTATCATTTTGAATAATAAAGGAATTCGAGCCTTTTTAAATTCGGCCAAAATAGGCGTATAATTTCCAACCTATACCTATGGAAAAGAATGCAATTTAAGTGATTTTATGTTGTTTTTAATCTATAATTCACACTTCAATGTTAACGATGTTCGCGAATAGTGTTTAGGTAAATGTTTTAGGTAAAAATGTGAATGAATATTATACCAAATTAAAGGAATGTGAAGACTGAAACGGCAACAGCTTGTGATTGACTTAAAGAATGGAATTGTGGTCTGATTGTAAATAATTTATATTTCAATAACGATTATCAAAAATTTAGGTAGAACGAAAAATTGGAACTTAAATGGGTGTTCAAAATTCAAAAAACATACAAACACGATTGTATCGTCGTCTTATGTATCATAAATTATATTTTTGTATAAATATTGTCTGCGGTTATCGCATACCTAGTTTTTAAGGGTTTAGGTATCTTCTCTTTGACTTGCAAAAGTAGTGATACATTCACAATTCTGTAATATATAGTAATGTAAATTTTCTTCAAATATAGAAGTGCTTTCACTCGGACTTCTAAAATATTAAATTGTATCAAGATATTAAAAATGCTTGTTGAATAATGAGGATTAAGAACCTATACTCTATTGATCCAATTGATGTCAATGGCTGTTGTGAGTAATTTCTTTGTGTCATGCGTAGTTTTACTTTGAGACCAATGTCTGAAACAACTGTCTGCATTAAATATCTAGCTTATAATGGTCCAATTCATAATAATATTAGTAATACTTGTATTTCACATTGTAGGTACAGATATTATAATTTCATGGAACATCAAAATTTAATCATTCATCTGACAGTATTGTATCATCTTAGGTAGTTAGTTATTAATTGATGTTATAAGTCCCAATCTAAGAATGTAGGGTATTAAGGTAGTATTGTGAAGTCATCGGTTAAGACGTGCTTGCCTAGTCACACTTTTCTAGTTCATAATTTAAATTGTTGATCTTTTTTTGTTGCCTTTTTATAGTTTACTATCGTAATTTTATAAGTCGCTCACTCTGATTTGTGCAATTTAATTTTTTGCTATAGATCAAAAATGTTTACAACTGTAAAAATATATATATACCTTTATATTATTAATAATAAAATTTATACACTAATTTAATTATTCCAATAAATACACTACTTCATCACTTCAAGCGAGTGTTTCCTTTATACGATCAAAAATCAAACAACGATCATAGAATTAAAATATTTTTATTGCACATTATAGTTGTCGTCTCTTTTTAATGGCATTATATACGAAATAGGGTGTAAATATTTACACATTGCACAGATATCACTATGAGTATTCCACTTTAAACACTAAATAAGTAATTAAATTACATCCGACTCCGAGTCTATAAGTCACATACCTACATTCAAACTGAATTAAACATGGCAGCATATGGCACGTTTAATTCTCTAAAACTATTCTTAAATTATAAAAAAAAAGAAGTAAGTACAGCAATAATGGCAAAATAATGTAACATACATTATATATAACTGGCAACACAGTCAATCCACACTAGCTTTAATATTATGTAAAGAAGCAGTCACTCTGATTTAAGCATGAAATTCAAACTATCACAGATTAACTTACATGATATATTTAACTTGTGTTCCGTCATTTTGTTGAAAGAACACAACTTATAACTAGTCTTATGATTGTAGGTCAATTCCATAAGCATTTTCTTATAAGATTCCCTTACAGCTTAATTAAAAAACCTATCTATTTCATTTACATGTTTTTTTCTGTTTTGAAGGAACAAATATACTGACGATCCAACGAGCTATGCATCTCAGATATATATAGTTTTAAATTACTGCTGACAATAAAAAATCCGTTTGGACCCTCAAGAAAAATCACATTTTTTTTTCCGTACATATTTTCAAACTTTCTTATCTTTGTGGATACTGTATACCTACTTATTTTAATAATACATATATTTCACTTTTGTAATCTTTCAACATTCCCACTAGTCCCAGGTGACTCCAAAATTACGCTAGGTTCATTGACTGTGTCAACTGCATCTCCACTTCTCTCAGTGCTTCCAGTATCCTGACTTGAACTGTCTTTCTCAGTCGAATCATCGACAGATGCTGATTCCTCTTCGCCTGAGTCCATTTTCTCTGATACTGATTGTTTGTTTTTGTTTTTCTTGAATTGCTCTTCCATTTCCTTGAATTTTAGGGTAAGGTATCTGAAAATTTAGGAGTTTACTTGTTATTATTTAAGAAAGTTAGACCTATGAGTTCTTGCTTTTTCTATTATGATAGCAAACTTTTAACGAGGACGGAGGAGGACGACAACGACGCGAAATACACTTGAGGATAAAACAACGGTGGGTATTAGTTGTGCATATTTTTACTACACAAAGTGACCCAGTTGTGTGTCGAGTCAAAATGATTTCATGTCATAATCATAATTAGAGCCTTAAATTAACATTACACTATCAACGGCCTTTAATAGTCCACTCCTGGATAGGCCTCTCCTTAGAAAGGAAGTTTTGGCCTACTATACCACGCTGGCCAGACGGGTTGGTATAGGGTTACGCCGCCTACCACAGCCTCATGCCGCCCTGAGTGTGGCCGCGGGTGGACGGGGTGGGTTTCCCCTCCACCCGCATTAGTTGGCCAGCCGCGAGGGGGCGGCGTCCGCGTGTTCCGGACGTCGCCTAAAGAGAGGAACAACACTGAGACGGAGCCCGCACCAGGAGCGGGCTGGCGCTAGGAGGGGTCCGGATGTCTTAAGAACAGCTGTTCCCGGATCCCTCCTGTTACAGGCGCAGAGTGGCACACCGTGTGGTTTTAGTCGGTCCGAGTCCGACACACCACCCCGCCGCAAACCCCGGAGGGGTGACGGTCCGAGGGGATTTCCACACGTTTAAAAAAAAAAAAAAAAAAAGTTTGTTTTAAGTTTTTCTTCTCTTTGCAGTGCAGTTTTCCTGCTTAGTGTGCTTCCTTAGTCTTACGACACCCACGAAATGGGCAGTGGCACTCCGTATTCTTAATCCGTCACCACACGAGCAAGACATTCACAACCACTTTAAAGTACAAACTAATTATTACGAGAACTTTTGCTTAAAACCGGGGATACATCCCGAGTTCACATAATTTGATTCACGATTCTCAAGTGGTAGTAAGAGTAGATACCACAATGAATGGAGCTGTTTATGTAGTCTGTGCAGGATTTGTTGCAAATATGTTGTGTGCCTGACCTGGCTTGAAGACTAGATACTAAACTACATTACTGTTAATAACCGTTAAAGTGTCTGTCTGTGTATTAGGCAATCAAATGTGTTATGTACATATCAGAAATATAACAACACTTACTTATCCACTAAAGGCCCACTGTAGTCTTCAGGGAACTTAGGTGAGTGCGGCAAAATATATTTGTACAGGCTCTCGTTTAGTACATACAGCTGCGTTGTAGTATTACAGCGCACGTTGAACCACCAATCGCAAGTTAAGGCAGCCTGAGAGAATATTGTACCATTCGGACATAGAAATGAAGCTTGTCCACCATTCAGATCGCAATAATGCCATACCTGCAACAAAATAAAAACATAATTTCTAATATAAACCTACACTTTTATACTAACTTTAAACCAACCGGTATTTTATTCTTTAAAGTACTAAGAAAAAATGTGAGACTAATTTTTTCCCAGGCCTCCATTTTCCCATAATCCTAATCCCTAATAAGGCTGCTGGACCCTTTTGCGCAACAGGGCGCTGAAATCTGCTATTACTGTCTCTAAAGTACAAAATATCGAAACGGATTTATAGGCATAAGTGAAAAATATACCGACCTACTTAATTCTAGTGTAGTTTTAGTTAACCACAGAACTAGTTAAAAGCTAATATAATACTAAAAAAACCTTTATTGTCTAATTTAAAGAAAATGAATGAAGAAATATAATAAATGCTGTTGAGAAACAGTCACTGCTAAATGAGATTAGTTGACACTAGGATGTTTGCAAAGAAATGCAATTTATTCATGAGCAGTGTTACTTGAAAGAATATGTAATGAGGGCAATTGATCGAATGTAATAAACTTTATTGTACACCGGTTTAGTAGGTATTTTATACATACAATAGTTACCAAGTTATTGACCATGGGACAAATTACGACCTTATCGCTATTGATATGGTAGTATGACGTGGTTTGGACATATAAAAATACATACAGTGGAACATAGAACCTCCTCCTTTTTTGAAGTCGGTTAAAAAGAATGAAGAAGTGAGGCAAGCTTTTAAATTAAGTATTGTATTTCTATGTTTGTAAAAAGAGTTTCGAATAACAATTAGAAGAAACTCTTAAACTGTTGAAGCACTAATAAAAAAATAAAACCGCTCTTATTAAATTGCGAATCTTATGTTACAGTCGTGTGCGTTACCCCAGCAAAATAATGTCGAAAATGGTCATTTAAACTTTATAGATAATTAGTTGATCTCCTTCTGTAATTGTTAGACACATTTTTAAATTTGTTTCACTTAAACTTTTTTAGTTATTTCAAAAAAACATTTCCTGCTGGAGTAACGTTTGAAACGTTACCGCAGCCAGACATTTTCTTTTTTAATTGTAATATTGAAATAAATTTTAGCTAAATAATTAGTTATCTGGACTAGGTAAATGTTACAACTTATTTGGTATTTGTATTTTCTTCGGCTGCGAAGTTATTCGAGATCCTGCTGGAGTAACGTTTGTGGGTTTGCTGGATCTCTGAAACGGGTAAGCGGATTGTAACCATCTTTTGTACATAACTTCTTAAGGATTAGTTTTAATTTGTTCGACAATAAAATAACAAAAATAATGGACCGTTTAAAAATTATTTAGGTAAGTATGAAAACACTTCAATACGTCCTAACACTTTAAATAAGACCTCTAAAGACTTACTTGAAACGTTATTCTATTGCTTGTAACTACCTTCAAATGTATACGAATTTTCGTAAGAATACTGTAAGTGACTAAAAAGTTATGATGAAATGTAGCTCTCCACGTTCACGATCACAATGTGTGCGGCCTTTTTCGGCCACCGATAAACCTGTGTGTGGATATATAAACTGAATGTTATGCCAATAATTAGTTGTTTAGTTCATTTGTCTACCTGTAGAATTTCAGCGTCGTACATATAATAATTTACGAGATAATTAAATAAAAGTCATTAGAAGGTGCAAGTCCGTGGTAATCCGACCATGTTTAGGTGGTTACAAAAAAACGATCACCCAGTACATTGCGCTGTCTTTTAAAATGTTTAGTGTAATACACCTTACGATTTCGGTACAGTTGCGTGCAGTGTTACATACATTCAATATTTATTCATTATTATTACCTATTATTTATTTTGTTTTTTTTTTCCTAATTGATCTTAAGCACTAGTTTCTTTACTTAAAATTTCTTTAGTCTTTTTAACTACCGGAGCTACAATCAACAGAAAATCTGCACTGGTCCGCTAAAATTATAAATATGTAGATACATGTATGAACGATTCACCTGACTGCAATAAATCGAAAATTTAAACCAATCAAGAATCGCTGATAATACATCCTTCGCTAGAACGCGGGAGGGGAGGGGCGAAGGGATGCTTCATTGTTTGCAATTTGCATCTAATGCACTAAACTTGACCCTTAGGCAGATAATATAAGTACGTTTTGTAAAGTACGTGTGCGCTTCCGCTTTCTATTTTTGCAAATATTTATCGTATTCTTGAGAGTTCTTCAATATGTGTGTACCTAATTACTAATAATAGGCATTAATGGTAATTCGATTCAATTTAAGTAATTGTCAATTCTTGTCTTAGGATATTAATTACTAATGCTAATATTGAAATTTCATAACGATCATAACTTTTAGGTAGGTAGGTACCTATATCACTTATTACTAATTTTACATAAATAATTTATTTTATTATAATTTAACTATTTTATTTTCTCCAACATTATTACAGAAATAATGCAATACAGAGTTTGTTCGCGATATGCTAGCCTAAGTCGATTCATCACTTAAAAAAATCCCCATCTATTCACAAAATACCTATTTACAACGCATACGTTACACTCTTCAAAACTTATCATTTCATTTCATATTTCTTAAATTACCTATACCTACCCTAAAATTAAACTTCAATTAACAAATACTACGCAGGTACCAATTCTATGAACAACTATAAACAATTCACCTAAACATTACGAGAAAACAAAAGCATTCAAAACAATACCTAATCTCCCGGCTGATTACTAATTATGCAATAAACAATCCTAAATAAAAAATATTTAAAAAACATGTAGTTTTTTGTAACACTTATGTACATATCCGTAGTAAACTTGCAAATAATATCCTACATATTTTAAAAGCCAGAACAATGTACTGGGTGATCGCTTTTTTGTAACCACCTAAACATGGTCGGGTTACCACGGTCTTGCACCTTCTAATGACTTTTATTTAATTATCTCGTAAATTATTATATGTACTACGCTGAAATTTTACAGGTAGACAACTGAACTAAACAACTAATTATTGGCATAACATTCAGTTTATATATCCACACACAGGTTTATCGGTGGCCAAAAAAGGCCGCACACATTGTGATCGTGAACGTGGAGAGCTACATTTCATCATAACTTTTTAGTCACTTACAGTATTCTTACGAAAATTCGTATACATTTGAAGGTAGTTACAAGCAATAGAATAACGTTTCAACTAAGTCTTTAGAGGTCTTATTTAAAGTGTTAGGACGTATTGAAGTGTTTTCATACTTACCTAAATAATTTTTAAACGGTCCATTATTTTTGTTATTTTATTGTCGAACAAATTAAAACTAATCCTTAAGAAGTTATGTACAAAAGATGGTTACAATCCGCTTACCCGTTTCAGAGATCCAGCAAACCCACAAACGTTACTCCAGTAGGATTTCGAATAACTTCGCAGCCGAAGAAAATACAAATACCAAATAAGTTGTAACATTTACCTAGTCCAGATAACTAATTATTTAGCTAAAATTTATTTCAATATTACAATTAAAAAAGAAAATGTCTGGCTGCGGTAACGTTTCAAACGTTACTCCAGCAGGAAATGTTTTTTTGAAATAACTAAAAAAGTTTAAGTGAAACAAATTTAAAAATGTGCTTAACAATTACAGAAGGGGAGCAACTAATTATCTATAAAGTTTAAATGACCATTTTCGACATTATTTTGCTGGGGTAACGCACACGTTACAGTCGGTAAAAATTAAAGAAAAAGGAAAGCTAGTTTCCAATGGTTGGTTTTAGTTTTAGGTTCGCTGTTACGGAATTAAATTACGACATAGCTACGTGCGACTTTGACCTGCACACATGTATAAAAAAATTCATTAAGTATATCTAAGCGAGATTTTTTTTATGATAATTATAAAAAAGTTGTAATACTTAGCACTATTATCTTTATTATAAATTATCTGAGGACAGTGAGGACTTACCTGTATAAGTAGGTAATAACTCACATGTTCCCAGCAACTCCTGGCTAACATATTTAATAAAACCTTAGCTTAAAAACTGGTTGTGTAGTGTTAGATCATTTTGGATAACACTCGAAGGTTATACTACATGTTCTTGGTAGTTACCATAAATGCAATATGCGTAGATAGACACCGACTGTTAGCGACCTACTTTCCCCTTGAGTATAAAATGTTTTTATGAGTATTCTTGTGTGTTACACATTACCTGACAACGACTCTCGGGATCTGCGAAAAAGCCTTTATATCGTTGCGTCTTGCAGTTGAAGGAAGTAGGCGGTATAACAGTCAAAATGGGATAATCGATGCCCGGTTGACCGGGAGTGCCACCTTCATCGTCTGAGGTCACAGGCAAAGGAAACTGTTGACTAGTTCCACCGCCAGATGATAGATCTGTAATAAAATCTAAAATAGAACACTTGACAAATACCTAGTTGAAGCCGCGAAGGCGGCTACGCACTCGTTAACAATGTACATCCGTCGATACTTCGCCCCATCCGCCGATATACATTTTTAACTATCCAGCACATCATTACTTCGCATTTACTTGTCTCAACGCCAATCAAAGAATCAAACCCTTAATTATGGCGTTTACCGATAAGCAAGAAGGATCAATTTATATATTTTGACTTGCGACAAGTGTTCAAGGCACTTTTAAAACAGCACTGCTGGAGTGGGATGAGTGCCTAACTCGTTATTAAGATATTACCTGCAGGTACCCTACCTATAGCATAATAAGTATAACAGAATATTTAGGATAGGTTCCCACAACCTTAGCACAACCCACGTCCCACATAAACGCGTTGATAATGATTAGGCATTTAATAATTAATGTGACCCTATGGGGCTTGGGCAATGGCAATGCAAATTGCGCAAAAAATTTCAAGATTAAGGAAACTGGCAGCAAAGTCTATAAACTAGGTACCTATAGGTTTCTTTGATTTTATTAATCATTTTAATAAATAAGAAGATGAAATAAAAAGAAGTAGGGACGAGCAAACACAATCTTTGTTTATTACTTCCCCATAGACATTTTTAAATAATATATTCTCTTTATAAGACTTAAAAACTCGAACTCGTGACATGTAGGAAGAATTTGTACTTTCTTAATTTTTAAAAACAACTTATTTGTCAGTCAGTACCTATTGCACTCTCATCAAAAAGATGACTATGTTTTGTATGTAGGTAGATAGTTACTCCTTGTTATTGTTCACTAAATACATAATTGATTTTGCAAGAGTTTGCCCGCAGAAGTAAGCAGATAACGGGATAAATCAATAGGTATAAGTAAGTAAGACTTATATTTTTAATTGTAACAGTATTTTAAAATAAGGTATGTAAGAAAATAATGCCATGCTCTAAACAGATTTTACGTTTGATATATTATTATCGTCATAAATATTTACTATAACCAGATACCCCCGAACTCTAATGTTTGATTCTGATGCTGTATTTAAACCTCTCAACTGAATGGAAAATTGCATAAAACAGCGATTAGTAAAATAATATATTCTAGATCTATTTTTGCTTTACTTAACTTACAGGTTAAGATAAATGAGTTAAATGACTTACCGTCCAAATGTTGAGAGGGAGGGCTTACGTGAGCAAGGTAAGGTTCATCGTGCAAACCTTCATCTCTTATCAGTTCCGGCTGTTCAGTAATCCGCTGAGCATCAATAACTGGTTCAGTAACGATTTCTACAACCTTAGCAGCCACAAATGGCTTCGGTGTACTGAGAACTGGCAGTTCCATGTCGTTTTGCGGCACAGCCTTCAAAGCATTTAAAACCTGTAGTAGAGTTCTTATTGATGCACCGACGTTCTCTTTTGTTATTGGTTTTGGTATTGATTTATTCAACTGTAGCGAATTTAGTAACGATGCCAGTGGAACTTGGTTTGAAGTTGTCATGTGGGGAGGGTGCACTGTGGTATGTTCAACAATATTGGTATAAAACTTTGGTCTTAAATTGTCAATAGTGATTACGGGCCCTGGTTGTATGCGATATTTTTGATTGCCAGAATTAAAAATATTTTTTTCAGGCGAAGTTATTATATACCTGGGTTCTTCATGAGGATATTTAGGCGAATTGAATATGGGTTGAAATCCATTTTGTCTTAACGGTGGTGCCGATAAATATGGCAGTTGTTTTTCATAGTAATTTTCTGAAACGATTAAAGGTTGCTTCTTGTAAACCGGTTGTTGAACATTAACCTCTTCATAAACGTAATGAGGACTTGCAGGTCTTGGTGGCTTAAGATAAGTTAACTCTTTAGGTATTAATACAGATACAGGTTTTTTCGTTATGTCATAAACTTTCTCATTTTCAGGTATCTTAAACGGCGGTGTTTGCTCATAAGGCACTAGTCTATATTTAGGTGATTGGTCTTTTTCTGACAAATAATATCTAATATTTGGTGTATCGTCACTGTATAAATTTAGAAAAGGTTTTCTCATCGGTGATATATATACCACATTCGGATTTTTGGATAAAAGTTTTTGTACGACTCGCCCTGGCTCAAAATCATTTATATAGTACTCTGACGGATGAAAATTTTGTATCACTTTATTGGGAGTTTGGTACACAGGCACACCACCCTGGTAAAATACTTTTGTTGGGTTTGCTGATGCAATATTGTGTTGAGTTAATCTATTGCCTTCATATATAGGAATATTTCTATTTGAATAAACTATTTTCTTCGGTTCACGTGGCTCACTGTGGCCAGTCTCGATAAGTTCTGCCTTTTGCACTTCTATGTTTCTTACGCTGTCGGCGTTCGGTCTTGCTAAATCATTAGCATAATAGAACGTCATGTACGGAATCAGCCTCCTATATCTTTCATTGATAGATAGTTTTGTAGAATTGGGACTGGTATTTGTTGGTTTGACTCTTGCAGTTTTAGTGGTAGATTCTGAAAACGCCATGGTAACAAAATCTTTTTGTATATCCATCCTCAATCCTCTCTTCATTTTACTTTCAGGACTGTTGCCGTTTGATGTTATTGTGATTGCGGTGACGAAGGCTGGTATAACTAAAACAACAAAAAATCTCATATTAATAATTTAAATCGATTCGAGTGAAAAACATAGTCGCTTAACGTAGTAAATTTATAAAGAAATTAAGGCTTTCTAATAAGAAAAACGCATAAAATACTCATAAAAATGCTCAAATATAGATTGGTATCATAGTTTCTGGAGCACATAAAGACAATGCCCAATTGGAGGTCAAAACGGCTTCTCAACTTGACATTGCTCCGAATATTGTTAAAGTAATTGTTAGTAGGTATTATAGTATGGCAAAAACTTATTATCACAATTACTTTTTGTATTATCTAGTTATATATTAAATGAAATGTTTTATTTTTTATATTTTATGCGCGGCCGTTCATCCGATCATTATGAAATGTTACATACACTCTTTTTCAATACCTAAGTCGTAATTAGCAAAATATACGATACTATCGTGCCTTCATATCGAGAATTGATTCATACCGAGAATTATTTTATGAATACAAGCTTGTGCGAGATCGGTTCACACCATCACACAGATTGGAGTACAAAATCTTTTTGAAACATAAAATGCCATTTTTTTTAAGTCACGTTATAAATACACTAACAAACTGTTTCACACTTACATATATGATTTAAGATTACAGCAGAAAGTTATTGGTGTAATATTTAGATATTTAGGCTTGGAATCAATTGTTTTTTGACCACCTTTTATAGAAAAATTAAACCTTTCCAACCAAAAGTGTTTTATGACCTAGGTCTTGGGAAGCTAGAACATGTGCATTGAATACATATAAGTATTTATACAAATATGTAAATAAATTTAAGTCGTGAACATTTTCGTTCAATGACTTTTTATGATTTTCGTTGTGGCTTAAGTCAACAAGAGAGTTGTCAGAGACTTTAATTGGCATTTGGTGAAGAAGGACCATGTCGCAGTTCTGTGTATTCGTGGTTTGGAGAATTTAGACGTGAACATGATCATCTCCATGACGAGGTATGTGAAGATCGGCCGGCGACTGCGGTTACAGACTCTAATATTGACACTGTACGACAACTTATTGAAACTGAGAAAAAAAATGAGTTGCCAGCAAATTCGTACTTTGTTAAGTATTGGAATGAGCCAAGTGCAAAACATTTTACACGTGCATCATTAAATTTTTTAACACCTTTTGTAACAGAGACCTGTTAGCTTGTAAAAATACCTACTGTTAATTTATCATCGCAAATATTTCAGCAAAGCAATGGATGGGTCAAACCTAAGAAAACTCAGATTACAACAATTACAGAGAGGTAATAGGAGTTAATAAAGTAACTACTTCCATCAAAACTACCAATTAGTAAAACTTTTATTCCAGCAATCAACATAGCGAAATATTTTGAAATCAAGGTAGCTTTTGCTGTTGCCTACACATTTCCACATAATTTATAATGTTTTATCATGGTTCATCGTCCAAATAACATGCTCTGAACTATAATCATTATATGTAAGTATTTCTAACGATTATAACATACATTCTCTAGGCGCACTCATCTGCCGTTGCTTCTACCAACGAATCAGTGACCAGACTCGTCTTGTTGAGAAACAATCATCTAATAAGTATATAATTGCTTATAAACATCGTGTATTATTAATCACTATCAATTTGGTCAATCTATTCATCGAGGCCTTTAAAAGGCGAGTTAATTGATCTACTTAATTCAAACAGTCTCGAAACAAAATTTACTTCCACGAACTAGAATCCTGTTGCGTCAGTGAGCGTACAATTAATCTCTAATACGTAGGTCTATAGACCCGTTTATGTCTACTGTCTATACTTGGTTCATATTTTGAAATCTGTTCCACTCTTATAACAATTCTTTTGATACCGATACTTATCATTCATCAGCATTATTAAGTTTTTTGCGATGCATTTAATAACATTTTAAATAATATAAATTCTGTATCAAAGATGAATATTTGAATGAACTTTAATGTTGAATGACTTTGTTGATTACCTATATCATGCGATATCTTCGCCCTTCATGATCCGTGTTATTTTCTATTGAATAGCAGGTTGTTATATTATTTAGCAGAAAAAAAAAACAAGTAAACTTATGTTTTTTTTTAGAATATCCCTATTTCCTGGAAAAATCATGGCGACGCTTCACTAGTTTGTTTTACTATGTCCACACGCAGGTAATGAATGACATGTAACTCAGTAGCCTATAGCCTATGCTTCGGCACACAGAAGCCTAGACTACGATTTTACAAGGTAAGGCAGCATGTGTCGATGAAACGTTCCTCAGATAAACGTCTTAGTGCGTCACTGCGTATGCGGAAGTAAAGTCAAGCATGCATTTTGAGAGGCAGGCATTTCTTTAAGAAGTGACACCTCATGTTTGAATCAACTTGAGCATGCGCCGACCGCCGCCGAAATCTAGACTTAATCTCAGACTCAGAATATTTAGTTGCGAGTACTTAGATCGTGTTATCACGAAGTTGCTGTTAAAAACATAATTACAAGATCGCCAATTCTCTAATATTTGGACACACTGTTTCCTTATTTCGACATTCAACGACTATAACAGTTAATGAGGATGACACAATCGTACTTTAATTAATAGCATCCAAGCTTTAATTTCAATATTTCAAAGAGCAATATATTCAGTGCAAAAATGCTAAAATTATACGGCTGTCGGCATTTACGAGTAATTTAGCACGTTGGGTAAACACCTCTAAAGATGCGAGTCGATTCAATGCATTATAATCATATGTATCTCAATATTTAAGACTGCACAGACACATATAATAAATACATTAATATAAAGTACATATTAAAAAAAAGTTTAACTTTTTTAGCGATTTGTAAGCAAGCTCGTGTAGGTGAAAAAAAACAAATTCTTATGTATATCGTTGATGCTCTCAATATGATCTACTTGCACATTGAATGATTGCTAACTGCCATCGAACCTCAATATTACATAATGTCAAAGTGAAGCAATGAAGTACACGCATACCCTGCTTCAGTTAGGTACGGACTAATAATACTCTTACTGAAGTCTGGTGAGTTACATAAGCAAACTGAAATAGGAAAATAGTACAAAACGAAACAGTATCTCAACTATTGCAAAAGCTAACAATGTTCAAGCCGTGAGCCATAGATATATATTATGTAGAACCAAAACGAATTGTGTGTAAAACGACATCGGAATAAATACATAGCAGCCAAGCATTTTAGAAAGGCTGGATCATTCGTGTGTCGAATACGGGTAAAGCCTTGGCCAGAAGTGACTGGTTGTGCATACGGAGATCCGTATCCTTACTTCAAATGGCTGTGCTTCAGTTACGAAATATGAAATACGAGTACAAATATCTACTTATTCTATCAGTTTTCAGAACCAGTAGACTCAAACAATTTTTTTTAAGAAGTTATGACTCGTCAACCAACTTTTATCAAATATACTCGTATACCTAATCTTTTCGGGTTTAAGAAACTTTATTATTTTTTATGTCTTACAAACCAATAATAAGGAGATTGCAGTCAACACTTACGTACCTACCTACACAACTGGTTCCTCCTAAAGAAAGTGATGGATGTTAAATACTGGTTAGGCTTATCACAGGTGTAAATATTTATGACGTTGCAATTTCAGACCTTATACTTAAAAATATTCATCCTTCACCACTGATACACACGGCGAAAGACAATTTGGCTAGACTTGAAACACGCACAAATTATGGCATGCCTTTTTCTCTCTGCGGATAAGTTAAAAACGACAGTTTTGCTTTTGCCTTTAGCTCTCTACGACTAAGGTTTTTTTACTGGCATTAGGATACATAAGCATATACACACTTTTCACGAATATCACCAGTTGAAACAACACTTCTAAGCCACATCGTTTATTGACTTGAAATGGACGAATCGAGTTAACTATCCTTTAAAAACCTTGGCTGGTTACCGTTAACTTCGTTATACGTATACGAAACTTGTATGAGGATTAAACAATATTAAAGGTCTACCATTAATGTTATAATTCATTGTCGGATTAACAATGCCAGTCGAATGAAAAAATTATTCTCTTTTGTAACAAAGGTAAAAAATTCAACCGTTATCTTCGTCAATTTAATTGAAGACTATAATTCATTAAATGATAGATTAGTAGTATTATGTAGTAATGAAATCTGTCTGTCTGTTTGTGCCGGGTAATCTTCTAAACGGCTGTACCGATTTTGATAGTATTTTACTACCAGGTAGCTGTCTATCTAAGGAGTAACTTGGGTTATTTTTCCTCTCAGAAAACCCTTTACAATTTTGCACGGTCCGGGCATCGAACCCACTTAGGCAGCTAGTATTCAATAAATTGAAGTATATATTATTATATCCCTTTCATGCTTCGAAAATCGTTTTTTTTCCATGTAATAAAAGTTTTTACAGAGTTCAAACAGTCATTTAGTCAATATAATTTTACAAATAGTGACAAGTCTTAAAAGGAATAACGTGCATAAAGATACAGGTCAAACATGATATAAATGTCACCCCAGACGGATGAAAAATTACATCAAGTGGGTGTAAAGAGTCAACGCACGGTAAACTTTTAAAATCTAGATTTAATTGGTTTCAACTAGATGTACTTTAAGACTTAGTAGACACAGACATTAAAAAAAAAAGGAAATCGTTGTCAATGAAAAAATATAGAGTTGACCCTTTGAAAGCACCTAAAACATTTGTTTCCCCTTAATTTCACTACATTATTCTTCCAAACTTAGAGGCGATACGGTTTCGGATCAATCTCGAGCACTACCAACTACAATTTGAACTTTTATGCCATGTTTAAATTCGAAATAAGAACCTAAACAGGATTCATTCAAGATCAATTCACAATTTAGTTTCAGATTAACTACAATTGATCTCCGGTTATATTGTTAGTTCACGATAGACAGTTTCAAAGAGATCAAATTACCTGATAGATAATATTAATATTATAAAACGATATCTGCAAAATTGTGCCACGTTTTTTGTCTGTTTATACAGTGAAGTAA